AAAGGGGATTGTTGCGACTGGGGGGAGGGAAAAGGCCAGCGCCATCTTGGAGAGGGTGCGCGGCCCTCGAGACCACAACCCACAGGGCGACGCCCCCCCCCCCCGCCCCAAAACAAACCAATCGAAAAATAGCCGTTATAAACCGCCGCAAATGGCACAAGAAGCTTTCCGCGGTGGGGGAGGGGGGCAATCCCTTCAGTCATTGTTCGAAAGCTATTTATAGCCATCTCCGTGGCGGCCAAAATGCCCACCGTCTCTCTCCCTTAAAAACGCAAATCCAGCAAAACGAAAAGCTTCCCTTTTCTCCAATTGCCGGGTGTCCTTCGCAGTATTTCTTTTACCTGTTGATGTGTTAGATGTATATCCCGCCTTGCCTTCAGGGTGACCCCTCTGCCTTTCCCCCCCCAACAACCCTGTGAGGTGGAGTGGCTGGCCTGGAGTCTGCCAGGGAGCCCCCATAGCCGTGGGGGGATTAGAACCTGGGTCCCCCCCAAGCCTATCCAACCCCCAGGAAACCACATTCCACAGTTAGGTCCTTTACCCATTCCTGTGTAAATTCTTATTCCCCCTTTCCTCTCCCGGGCAAGTGGCCACCTATCTCCCCCCCCTTTACTCCTAGGAAGGTTCGGCCTACCCCATGCAACTCAGGACTGGCCAAGTAAAAGATCTGATACACCTGTCTGGAGTGCCAAACCATGGTTTGCTTAATCACGACTTACTTAATAAACCCCCACTGGCTAGACTGACACATCGTATGAAGCCATAAATCCAGATTTGCAAACCGGAATAGCTGAACTGGCTACCTCAAGACACTCAGCTGAAACCAACATGGCTCATTATGGCTTAATTCCACCTGTGAACCCATCCCAGATCTTCTGCTTGGCGCAGGCCACTAATCTTGTTGCTGGGGTGGCTGGTCTACAATGATGGCCTGCTAGGTAGCCAGTAAAGCCACAGTAATGTCAGGTGTGTCCGGATGTCACTGTGTAAACGAGGCATCATATGTAACGTGCATGAGGACATTATCATGCATATGAAGTCACTCTCCCCCCTTCCTCCACGGAAGTCCAGGGGTAGAAACTATGTTTTTCCTTTGTGCCAAAGCCATTTCCTTTGATACGCAAAAACTAGCCCGTTCAGGGACGATCAAACAATAGGGCTGTACTTGGAAGTCCTTGAGTGCTGCAAGTGTGAGAGAAACAAACCTGGGTTTGAAAGGAGGAGATGTGACATATTTTAAGGGTGTCTGTCTTTTCTCACATCTACTGTAATCAGTTATGGTTTGATTTGCTGCTTTCTGACACATATATTGAATGGATGTATCATTTGTTTCTGTACCCTATGTAAAGACGTGATCCCCATTCATAAAATGGCTTTCGCTTTGCCTGAAGTACTTGTGGTTTGTATTGGGGGGGGGGGCGAAAAAACCCCTTTGCAAAGGTATTCGGTGTTCCTCTCTCAAATTCAGGGACTAGGTTCTTTCCAGCTCCATGCCAACTCAGGCGCCTGAGTTTTATGGGCAACACCATGATGATGTCACGTCCATTATGACATGACACAAATGCTATACTGGACATTATTTGGTCATGAGACCTCATGATGCATAATGAAGCCTAAAATTCCAGGTAACAACATCGTTCACCTTCCTCTGCAGGTGGCCACGTGCTGTGGTCCAAAGCATTCCTCTAGAACAGGTTTTCTCAACCTTGGCACCTTGAAGATGTGTGGACTTCAATTCCCAGAATTCCCCAGCCAGCATGGCTGGCTGGGGAATTCTGGGAACTGAAGTCCACACATCTTCAAGTTGCTAAGGGTGAGAAACATTGCTCTAGAAGCCCTTCTCCTAGGCTAGGTTACACTGCAGTGGGTCCAATACAAATACGATAAAAATCTGTGCCAAAGTTCCCAGAGTGAAGTGGCCAATGATAGAAGACTTATTGTAAGTAGTCTCTTCTCTGCTCTTTACGAACCCCACTTTTTGGTGCTTGGTCTAACAAAGCAACGGTTACATGTGCATTTGTAGAAACCCAGCAGCATTAAATATGCCCTAACCCTAGAAGCATATCTGTTTGGCTTTGCCCACATTGACCTCCAGAAGACTTGGGGCACCAGCAATCCAAATAATCCCACAATATTAATGTATTTATTCATTCAATTTATACAGCCACCCATCTCGCTGTAGCAACTCTGGGTGGCTAACACCATTTAGAAACACTTAGCATAGCAACAAAGGGAACCATCTGAATACTGATATACGCTTCTGCGTTGATTGATTGATTGATTGATTGATTGAATTTGTATGCCGCCCATCTCCCCCAACGGGTGACTCTGGGCGGCATACAAATTTACATTTGCATTTCCAGTAAAGATCTTTCTAGCCCCGGATGGAGAGGTCAGCCTTCAAACAGACTCCCTTCCCATTAAAATATAATTTTACTTATAACTGCTGTGAAGAATATCAGAAGCCACTTCTTTATGCCTTTGTATCTTTCTCTTCCTTTCCCTCTTTGTTCTACTATTTTCTTATTGCACTTTTAGCTTTTTCTTTTATTTCTCTCTTTCCTTTTCCTTTTCTCTGTTCTATTTTAGTTTATATTCTTATTATTACAGTTAAAACTTTCAATATAAAGTGCGTGTGTGCGTGTGTATGTATATATATATACATACATATATATGTATGTGTATATATATATATATGTGTGTGTGTGTGTATATATATATAAATATATATATAAAAATAAAGAAATCAGACTCCCTTCCTATAGACTGGCTTCACACAATTTGTGCTAAAAAGGCTCAGTGACTCTGTTCGCGTTACATCACATGTGACGCTGAAACCACAAACAGCTTGGCCTTATTTTAGCTCAATCCAGCGGGTTTTCAGGGAATCTAAAGCAGTCCTCTGGATTACAGCATCAGTTTTTTGAGAAAAAATAAATCCTTTTTTCCAGGTAAACAGGATACAGTGGCTAGAGATCTAAGACAGCAGGACCAGTTTCACTTTATGTGAGATGAGCGGCTATATAAATATGATAAATCAATAAATAAATAAGACTAGAAGACCTCCAAGGTCCCTTTCAGCCCTATGATTCTATGATTCTCAGCTGTTATTTAGCACAGGGTTCTCAACCTTGGCAACTTGAAGATGTGTGGACTTCAACTCCCAGAATTCCCTGGCTGGGGAATTCTGGGAGTTGAAGTCCACACATCTTCAAGTCGCCAAGGTTGAGGAGCCCTGATGTAGCAGCATCTGGAGGGCCAAGGGTGCTGCAATTTCGCTTCCAAAGATGAACATTATTGTCCTTGTGATTTTGAACAAAAGGCTAATTTAAAAGGAAGATAGGAATCTGCATTATTTGAGTATTACTTGTGTTATCCAGCATGTGTCTGAACGATTTCCATAAAAAAGCCACCCACTGCCCATTAGGGCCTGGCACATTCTCTCTTCTCTCTCTATCTGTTTTGGAAGCTGGAGTAAAATAGCTAATGGGAGAAAAAGTGGGATATCCTTTTAAAGGTGTCCTTTCCTCCCTGCCCTGCACAAATTAGCGTATTGGTGTAATGGGCAGGGTGCAAAATGAGATGCGAAGATAAGCAGACGAGGGACAGGAAACGGGACGGTAAAATGTGGTTTCAAAGGGACCCAAGACTGTAGGTGCCTTGGGCTGTCCTCTCCCATCTGATTGAGCAAATCCATCTGGCTTCTCTTCCTGATCAGAGAACAGAGCTACAGGAAACCCGGGTGAGGCTGAATTCCAGGACTGCAAAGACCAGGTCCTCCCACATGACCACCCACTCAGTCAGCATACGAGGGAGGGAGCCGCGCAGCCCTGGCGCCAGCACCTGGTCTGGCATGGCAATGCGGGGGCCCAGAAGGGTGGATACTACTCTGCAGCATCTTGTCTGCTGATTGTGGGGGGAAAAAAACCATCTTTTAATTGGGGCTGCTGTCCAGGCCCACTTCTATCCATGGTTAGACGCTAACGTTATTCCTTCTATTTCCTCCCACTGCCCCCTCTTCTACACGCTGCAGCTTATTTTTCCAAAAAAATCTGTATCTGAGCGGTGAAAACAAGCTCCTTGTTATTCCTCTAGCCACAGTGGTGGTGCTATGACTTTGGTGAATTGAAACTCTAGTGCTGCGCATCATGCGCAACCGTTTGTATTTATCTGATCGGGGTTAGCCAACAGATTTTGTGTTGCTTGCTCTAATCCATCTGGCAGAACCTCAGCATGACAATGTGGTGGGGGAGGGAAGGGAAATTTAAGCACATGGATGTCTGCAGAGAGAAAGCCATA